CTAACTTTCTGGCTCTCGCTAAAGATACAGATTTTTCCACGCACCGGAAAGCTTACAACGAACTTTTGCCCAACAAGTGAAAGTCCTGCCTGGATTATCATGCCACCAAAGCAAGGTGCGAAAAATCTTCGCTCCATCGCAATTCGTGACGGCTCCTTTGGCACCGTCGACCCTGAACCCAGTAAGCAAGCAGGACTCCTGGGCTTCGCTGCCGCAGGCCGTGGGCCTCCCTGTTTCTGAGGCCCATGCTCGATGGCCTTCTGCCGCTTCGCTTCGAGCTGATTCCTCGGAGGCAAGCCAGCGAGAGAGAGAGAGAGAGACACAGAGCGAGAGATGCAGGGATAGATACTTGTATATAAGCTGATGCGTGTACTTGCAGGTTTGCCCTGATGCAGAACACAAGCCGCAAAAGCATACAAAGCGTATACAACTCTCGCAGAGCCCTAAAAGAACTACATAAGAGCACTAAAGCCTTTATGAGCCATCATGTTACGAATTCGAACCACAAGCAGAACGTAACAACAGCAACAATGAAAAGGTCAGTAATAATAGTAAATCAAAAGAATGGCGATGGTAACAATAACCAGAGGAATCACTAAGCATGCGACTACTACTAATCCCACAGATGCGACGAAAAGCACTTATAACAATTCAAGTACCGTTATTTCATGCAAAACTAGTTATGCTAGTAGTTCTACCACTGATGCTAAGAACAGTAAGACCAAAAGGAACGACTACGACGAGGAGGACAACGACGAATTCCGCTCACGACGACGACGGTTACTAGAACAACCGTCATACGCACACTGCTGCTACGAGGAGTTCTTACGACTACGACTCTGCGACGACTGCGTTTACTACGACTACCTACTACGAATGCTGCCATTACGAAGGCGACGATGACGACCAAGCAATCGTGGCTCCTTTCATGCTAACTTTCTGGGAGCCCGACTTAAGCTCGTCGCTCATGCGGGCCTCAGAACGTTGGCGACGTGTTCTGGGGGGCTCAACTGCGGGTGGCGTCAGGATCTACTGAAGCATGTGGCTTCAAAGGGGCTGCGCAGAATGCTTCCAATAAATGCTGCGCCGAGGTGAACTGCCGCACCGAGGTCCGTGCAGCCATGACTTGCTGCAAACGCAGCTTCATGCGCTCCGAGTGCACGTTGTTCAACATCTGAGGCAGTGCGATGGCTCTGGCAGAAAAGACCGATGTGCAGCAGAAGCCCCATTTCTGGAAGCTTTCTACCAGTATCTATTGGACCATCTCTGAGCGTCTGACATTCTGGTACTTGTGCTCAGTGACCTTGCCTTCCGACCTGCCGCATCGAAGGTCTGTGAGCTGCAACTTGCCTTCTGACAGAGGCCTTCAAGCACTGAGGTTGGTGCTGCTTCTCCGAAGCATCGTAGGACTTATCTCGCGCTCGTCGGTTGATCACCGCACGCTGGAGCGCGCCCTGAGGGATAGTAGTTTTCTTTGAGATGATGGTTTCGCCATAGATTTGGAAAGGCTCGCAATCATCAACCCTGAAGCCTTAAGGCTGTCGGATTTCGTACATCCTGGCCCATGCCTACCGAGGTGCGTTCGGGGCCATGGACAGGGAAACACTTGGAGTCGAGCATTGTCTGAGAAAAGGGAGGTAGTATAAAGTGGATAGACAAACACGTCGGGTACGCAATGTAGCTTCTCCAACTAAACTGCGATCTTGCTTCGCTGATGCACCAAGGCTTGCATTATGCACTGCTAAAAAGCACAGTGTGAGGGTATGCGACCGCACTTATTGCCTACTTCACCGACCCTCTATATGTGCCTCTATGTCTGTGCATCCGCCACTTGCTGCCATGCTCATTTGCTTGCTGAGGTCTCAGCATTTTTGCCCTTGAGGCGATCATTCTGATCCAGGAGCTGGGCAAGCTTCTCCTTCGGAGTTTCAAGCAATGTGACAAGCATGACCTTCTGACAGGGCTGGAGATGATAACATCCGGTTCCCCCCCTGTCGCTGGACCATCAAGCATAGAAACCTTCTGACCTGCATGAGCTTCCGAAAGCCTTGACATAAACAGCCTGTAGACGGCCTGTAAGCCAGCATTAGCTTAGACAGACCCTAAGATTGCGTGTCTCACTCCGTGCCTGCAGTTCGACCATCGGATCTGGACCTTCCTGGACGCAGGGAGACGCCGCAGTAGTTCGTCACAGCAAAGTTCAACATGCCATGGTACATGCTCGTCAATGATGCCCATGTCCATAAACAGAGAACCGGCGAGTCTGACGACAATACAGGCCTATGGCTTATATGGGTGAGAATCTATGTGTATGTTTTCGTGCATGTTTGAAGCACAGCTACGCATTGAAATTGAAGCTCCAGTGCGACAAGAAATTTCGAAAACACGGGCACGCAACAGCTGTGATAACTGGCGCCTTGACGGGCTCTCCCTCCTCCTCCTCATCCTCATGCATCTGTCCTAGGCAGAACGGGACAAATTTGGACCTGATTTCAGGGTTCAGGGCCAAAAGCTACAAGTAGCTCCCAAAGCCATGCCCAAAGTTCACTCCGCTATCTGCTATCTGCATTCTGCAGGTGCAGAGTTCCCCCCTGGAAGTTACGTAACCTGCCATGTGAACAGCAAAAACCGAGATCCCCACTCTCGAGCTCGGCTTCACCCTCGTCCTCCTCGTCAGCACCTCTCGTTTTTAAGTCGCAGCAGGCACTGGCCCGAGTGATTAGAAACCAGTAAGACGCTGGTATACTCGTCTTCGAAGGGAACAGCATAGAATTAACATGGTAAGACACACAACTTGCAATAAAAACATGATGTCTGCAAGCGCATACACACATGATTATGTATGCATGTGTATCTACAGCATATATGCCTAAACACACATATGCACATAAACGAAACACGAATGTGTACACGACATTACACAACTAATCATGTACATATGTGTATTTTAGTTAGGTTGTGGATCGTCAACCCGGTGCCTGGGTCTTCTTCTCCTGCTTCCTCGGGGCCTGCCTCTTCTGGAGGTTCTTCTTCCTCCTCCTCCTGTGCACCGGTTCTCCAGGGTCCAGGTATTTCGTTCTGAATTTGAGCATGCTACTGAAGGCAGTTCGGGTGGCCAAAAGAGCGTTAGAACCCAAAACTACATTTTCAAAGTCTCTATGCCTTATGCCCGTCAAGTGCTGCGGCAGCCGGTGCTTGCGGAACTTACGTAGTCTTGTCGGCGGGTTGGAGGATGCTTGTGTTTCGGATGCATTATGCTCACCAGCCTCAGCTGCAGCTTGCTCAGATTCAGCTGGCGGCTGATCATTTGCTCTGCCAGCAGAACTGGCAAGAGTGTCCTGACGCACAATGGCTCCACAGAACCACATGGGCACGACAAAACGCATCGCGGCTGCAGCACAAATGGCCTCAGCATCTTCCGCAGGCTCATCTGCCGCTGCCGCAGGTTCATCCACTGCGGCTTGATCATCTCCCGCTGCAGCTTGGTCATCTGCTGCCGCGGCTTCATCGTCTCCGAGAGCTTGATCATCGCCTGCTGGCGGTTGTTCATCCGCGGCGTCGCCTACTGCCGCTGGATCATCCCCGGGATCCGCTGGATCATCTACTGCTGCGGCTTGGTCATCCCCCACAGCTTGATCATCACCGGCTGGATCTGGGTCAAATTCCTGCGTCGCCAAGACAAGCAGGGGGGGGGGGAGGGCAGTCGTGACCGATTGTTGTCTGTGCACACAGCTACGCAATCAAGCCCGCTGAGGTGAACGATGCAGTTGTCATGCATCAAGACGGGCTGAATGACGCGACTTCGGAAGCCCTGCCATCGCCTCTACCGTAACGTATTCTCCCTCAACCTCTGGCTCGTCACCTGGGACGCTGAGTACGAGAACTTCTGCTGGCCATCGGACTTGTTTTTCAGGACTTTGGATCTATGGTGTTGCAGAAGGGTAATCGAACCTCAAGCAGGACCCAAGCCCGACTTTTTGCTCTTTGACTAGGAAAGCAGCTTGGTTCTTTGAAAGCTGAAGGCCGACACATCTAGGCTAGTTAGGGAAGCTCCAATTGCTTCGCAGGAGCCTTGAGGAGCAGCATCTTCGTCAGCCTCCGCCATCTTCCAGAGACCCGGAAATCAGAAACTACAGCATTGCAAATTAAAGGTGCTGCGGGAGAGAGCCCGGTGGGCGGACATGCAAGCCACTTCACACCACCGCCGGCGCAAACCAGCTCGGGCTTTCTTCAAGATCACCAGCGCGCCAGCGCGCATGTTGCACCAGGGGGGGGCTGGGGCAGGGAGCTTGCTTGAAGTGATGGGGTCACGACAAAGGGAAAGGGCCCAGATCCAGGCATGCCAAGCCGGGGACCTTCAGAATACAAGCGCTTCGAATGTCAAATCTATGAATTTAGGGCGGCCTGCTTAGGCTCTTCACCGCACATCTGCAGTGCAACCAATCTCCAAAATGGCCCGACAAGATCTCTCCAGGCCGCCTGTTCTCAATGTGAAGTACACGTTGCCTGTAGCTGTCGTACCGCTCCATGCGGCCATGGGCAAGTCTGAAAACAAACTGGAGACATGGACTGGGACCCGTACGACTCCATCAGCCGCAAAGGGAACATTGGGACGTTACAGTCCTACTCAGGTCTGCCGGGTCTCAAAACGGGATGTATGTATGGTCAAGAGCTGGAAGTCTCTTAAAGGAGCAAGGAGCAGGTCGCAACTTGTACGAGGAGCCCGAAATTCTGCGAGCGGATCCCACCAAAACCGCGGCACTTTTTCAGCTGATGCGGTCGGTCTCCGACTCAAGTTCGCTCAGCAAGGCTCGCCGCAGCTTGCTGCCTGCTGACGCATAAGAATCTGTGACGCCTTCTTGCATGCGTCAGAGCTGCAATAGTCGGACATGTCGCCGCCCAACGGGCTATGGCCGCGTTTTGATGTGAGTTGACATCCAGAGCTGCAGCCGAGGGGCTTGTTCCTGTGTTTTCCTCAAAGCAGGGGCAATGCACTGGCTTCAGCTAGCATGGATCAAGATGTGTGCACTGTCCACGTTTTGCCCAGGTACCAGCCAAACCTGCTTCAAGCCTGAGTTTGAGGAACCAAACACTTGGGCCCTGCACCAGAATGCAACTGCTACAATGTCTGGCCATGACAGACCATCGAATGAACAAAAGTGAGAGCATCTCGGCAGATACTGGGTTTGGTCTTAAGCAGGGTCTAAGATAATTTTCCGCAGATGCTCGCATGGCAACATGGCTCCCTAAAATTGTGCAAGCCAGAGTACGGGGGACATCGCCCTTCTGAATCGCTGCTATCAGTTGCTGCAAAGGCTTGCCCCGGATAGCCACGTTGTTCTGAAGATGCAGCTCCTCCGAAAGGCCACGGTGGAATAAGTTTGCGTGAGTAGGGCGTACTCGGCATCCCATTCAAAGGTAGCTATTAGATGCCAATCACTGTGCAGATCCATGTCAGGCTCCGGCCACGTGAAAACCCTGTGTCCTGTACTCTGGCTCCTGAAGTCTACATGATGCCGCAGCTGATTCTTGAGTCCCACAATAAAGCCAGGTGCAGTTTTTCCCGCCCCCCCTTCCACCCGCACCCAGAATCTCCCGGAGGTCAGGGAGCTGAAAGCTCATCGCGGCGTCGATCAGCAACTGGAAGCCTCGGGGCGTGGCAGCCAAGAATAAGCCTAAGCTGAGCCTGGCTCAGCTTCGGCTTATGCTGACACCCACAATCACCCCATGCTCGCAGAAATGTCTAAGCACAATAGTTTCAGGTTCGCCCCTGTTTTGCACACCGTGAAGGGCACCCCGTCGGATGATTAACTAGCAATCCGGCAACCGCGTCAGAAACCAGGATGCCGCTTCCGACTGCAACCCAAACAGAGAACCTTGCGCCCTCTGGCTCTCATGCCTGTTCCGGTCCATGCAGAACCTGCGGTGTACATGAGTGCGCCTTCATCGCTGACCCGCTGCCCGACCCCAAGCTCCTCCATTTTCGCCAGCCTCAACGGACGGACCACGCACAACTTGAACCGCCGACCAAGGCAAACAGCAGTCAAGAAGCCTTCCATTCGTCAGGGGAACCTCAAGGCTTCGGACGCCTCTGGACAGCAGGCTTCAGACACCACAGAGACATGGAACACGAAGCCCAACAGCTGCATCTCCGCCCCCTGTTCAAAGCAGGACAACAGTTACGGTGGACTGCTCCTGCTTGCCCAAAACAGACATCTTGGAATCGCAGTACAATGTCTCAGGATTTGCACGCCTTCATCCGAGATGTCGTTGTCCATCACCTGCTGCTTGGGGGGGCTTGTTTTGGAGTCCAGTGTGCAATATACGCTCAGACTGGACTTCGAAGTCAATATCCGTTCGCGCGTCAGCAGAACAGCCCATACCGTGAAACTGTGAGGGCTAACCCCGTGATACCAGGGCAGGTCAGTCGGATTGCCCCGTGACTGTGCAGCCGAAGCGCCAGAAGGCTGCTGAGGCCTTCCGGCGCAAATGCCTCAGATCTCTGGCATGATTCAAAGATCATAGTAAGACAAGCACAACGTAATTCGCAGTCGTCACACTGACGGTTCATGATGCTGACCATGACGAAGAGAACAGTGGCAGCAGGTTTAGTAAGTTTTGTATTACAGAGTCAGCAATTCTTGCCGCCAGGAGCCATGACTCAACAAGGAATCCTAACTTTAGATCTGACCCCGAAAGCAATCCCTGGTCATTTTTCATTCCCATGCTACCTTGTGCTGGATGGCATCGGCCAAGGCGCTGAGGCCGGCCTGGGAAGCTCGGCCATTCTGAGGGTTGCGTGGCCCGGCTAAGGAAATTTGCACTACTGTATGTGTATGGCGTGTCTTTGCTCCGTCGCTCTCTTCTTCTTCTTCTCCGGGGT